CCTGCAACAGCCCCTGCTGGCCAGACCTGGCACTGAATTAAAAGTGAGATTCACTGACCCAGGGAGGTAGCAACAGTTAGAACAGCATTATTTCTGCAGTTCCTCTCCTCCCCATCCCACGTGCCTCTCCAAAAAGCTTCTGGGAATTCTAACAAGAGGTTAGCTTTTGCCTGGAAGTGTGTGTGTGTGTGTGGGGGGGCATTTTCAAATAGCCCTCCCTCCACATTTATGATAATATTGCTTAGCTTTTTCTCTGTAATTAGCACAGAAGCAAGCTCTGGGTGCCTACCTTGTGCTTAAAGGAGCTTACAATCTAAGATCAACACTAGGGAACGCAAAGGAGGGAGGGAAAGGAATATGACCGGATTGACAAATGCTTAAGCTTGCAGTGTCATGTGGCACCTTAAACATTAGTAAATTTTATTATGGCATATGTTTTATGGAATACTGTCTTCACCAGATGCACGACATGTTATGTCGAGCTACAGGAATAGATGGGTGGGGGAGTTGTAAAGTGTAGGATGTACAGACAGTGAGAATTATCTACAGCTGGGAAGAGGGATTTGAGGGGAAAGAATGCTTTAAAGAATGATTTTAAGGATGATGAGGAGAAATGACATCACATGTCTGCTCTGAGATGCATGCGTAAGGGAGACTATTCAAGCCTGATCTGCAACTCTTTGTTAGAGTCTTGAAGTATAGAATATTGTATAGAATATAGTATAGAAGTCTTGAAGTTAGGGTCTTGAAGTATAGAATATAGAATATGGTATAGAATATTGGCTGCTTTGCCATCTGCAATCACACACAGCCTGTAACCAAGCCTTAGCAGTAAGGTCCTTTGGACCATTCTCTGGGCCCCCAATTCTCACCTACATCACGTGACGTGATGTAGAGGAGGTCAGGTGATATTCTAGGACAAATTCAAGTCATGTAAAATAGTCCTAATAGTCATGTTTACGAAACCTATTCCAAACCCTTAGGTTAGGGCATGGAATCCAAATACGTAAATGAAACAGCAGTTAAGTAAGTACATTCAGCTCAGGCAGGTAGATCCCCTTTGCCCTGTCACAATTGGAGCAGCCCTGTAGGTCAGGCAGTTGCATGCGAAAGAGGAGTGAATCTCCTCCAGTTCGGGGAGGCAAGATTGCAGCCTTCTTGTACGTTTATTCCCAAACTAAAAGGGGGAAAGCATACTTATTCTGCTTTCCTTCCCCAAATGCACCCATCTATTCCTCTGATTATTTAGGGAGTCCTACATGTCTCTTTCGTGCTGAGTGCCAGTCCTTCTGTCTTTCCATCTTTTCCATTTAATAAAGACAGTGAAGCTTTGATCTTAGGTAGTGTTAGGCTGCCTGACACGCATAGACTTCAAAGTAGCAGACTGTACAGCACCTGACATGCTTCTGGCCATAAATAAATTGCCAATATGTACGCTCAGGATGGGTGGGGTGATTAGGCATGGCACAAACATGCGCAGACAACAGGGAAAATGCGTATTCATGGAGGCACCCTGTGTGTTTCTAGCCACATTTAAATACGCTTATCACATACACGGGCCCATAGGCAAGCAGCATGCACGTGCTGCTGACATGCTAACAGTGTGGCAGGTGCATTTAAAGATGATGGGCCACGAGAAATGCTTGCATAGGTAAGCACTTTCATGCCTTGCATCACGTATGAATCACGTATGAATTTGTTCAGATTTGTGTGAGAGTGGGAGTTTATTTTAATAGGAATTGTTTGTGTCTGAATCGTACTGTTTTTAGAATGGCCAGATAGTTATTTTTCCTCCATATTTGAGAAGGATATAACTGTGTTGTTAATACATCGGTTTTGGGTAGAGTGTTCTTGCATGTACACTTTTCACTCCACCATTTACCAAATTTATATTCAGGCCTAACTGGGTGGATTCTTCCCTTTCACCTTTAGTCAGGCAAAATCTCCCCCCCCCCCCCCCCCCCCCCCCTGTTTAGAGGCAAACAGAACAACTCAGAAAAGCTCATTGACCCGGGAAATACAGCAAATTTCAATCTATTTGTTTTTCCTCATCGGATGCAGAGCTAACATCCGATGTAGCTTTGTGGTGTAGCTCCTCTCTCCCCACAAAAAGCCCTACCTCCGCACACACATACTCCAAGGAACTTTTTCCCACTGATATTTGTGGAGGCCAGATTTATAGGCATTATTGAGGCCGTAAAACCCACTGGATGGCCTGACCTTTTACTCCTGAGAAGTACCTGGCTAGTGTAGCCATGCAACTGGAACATAGGTGGATATGTGTGAGGGAGGAGAGCGGGTGGAGGGAGTTGCCATGGAAAGCAGGTGGGTCCTTCGCCAGGTCACTTCTTCATGCAAATTCACACACAAAGGTGCTATTTCTTTTGAAAGCGGCTGGCAAGCTTTCATAATAGTGATATGTAATGTGAAGCTAGCTTCTCAGCAAGTCTTCTTGTTGCACACAGCCTACTAAGACATTTTTTATAGCTAACCCATTGAAGTTACCTGTGCAAAAGCATGACTAAAGTACTTCACAGTGGATCATGTTCTGAGTGAGACCTACTGCTTTTCCCACCTTTCTTGCAATGTAGTAAGGTTTGAGTTCTTCCCAGTATACACCTAGACTTTTTTTCTTGGCGAAGGAAAGTTCTGTTAGATTCTGCACCAAGCATGGCCACAGGCAAGCTGCTTGGCTCTTGGTCTCAGTTCTCCCTTGGTAAGTTGACATATCAAAGACCAACACTGCAGGCCTGTTGTGTGGATGAATTAAACATGGATTGGCAATTACATAGCATGGCAAAATGACTTAAGAAGAATGCATGTTTGCAAAGCACCTGAATACTGGAGTCCATTAGAGTTTGCCAGCTTGAGTTACACTAGTTGGGACCAGCTAATAATGCTGATTTGCACCAGACTAGAAAACTTGCTCTTTCTTGGCTCCAGAAGAGCAACACCTCCCCACATTAAGCCATATCCATCCAGGGACTCGTCAGTTTGTGGTGAAGCAAAGTGGATTTACCCTGGCTAAAAATGTGGGTCTGGAAATGACCAGCTGCTTAGAGCCACGCTCTAGGGTAGGAAACAGTGGGATAGACGGACAGGAAGTGTGTGTCGGAATGATGTAGGCCCTGTTCACACATCCACGCTCATTACACCAGGACAGCAAAATCAAGAGATGATGAATGCGCCAAAATGAGAAGTGTCGAGAGGTGTGTCACCACAGTTGTTTCGCCTGGCCTCAGCCACCAGCATTTTTCAGTGGCAGCCATCCATTCAGCTGCCCCTCATCAACATCCAGTTCACACTTGGTCATAATGTCTTCCTCCGTGCTTCCGTTCTGTACTTGGAGACATCAGGGGAATGTGTGCACCCTCAGGAAAGCACCGTCATTCAAGTGTGCAAGTTAACCCTGAAGCCATGGACTTGCATGCCCGAGCTGACCAGCCCAGGTGTGTGGAAAGATGGCAAGTGGGAATGTACATGGAAGGTGCCAAGGGTGATGGAGATCTCTGGGTAATCTGAAAAGTGCTTCCACCGCTCACTTGCATACGATGGGAGAGTCACTGTCGGCAGGGCTTCTCCACAACCTTTTCTGTGGGCAGGAACCCCACAGAACGAAGCGGCTTGGCTTTGCTTGTAATGCCATAAGGACAATCGCAGCCAAGTGAGATGGGTGACAGCATCCGTCCCGTGCAGGCCGGGCGCGCACTGGGAGGCACACCTTCCGAGGACCACGTCCGGGCTGGGCCGCCCTCGCTCCCCAGCGCTCCACGTCTCCGCAGCGCCTCGGCGGCTGCGTCCCAGCCTGGAGCCGCGCCGTCCGAGCTGAGCGCGGAGTGGCAGAAGGCTTAATTTGCTCCATCTGCTGCTACTCCTGCCTCCCTCTCTCGCGCTCTCTCTCTCTCGCTCGCTCGCTCGCTCGCTCCCCGCCACCGCGGGATGAAAGGAGGCGCTGAGGACTCTTCAGGCCAAGCCCAAGCGGGGGGATGACGTCTGGCCAGCGGCAGCCAAAAGACTCCGGAGAGGAGGAACGAAGCCACCGCAAAGCCTCGGCGGCCAAGTGTGGCTAGCTACTGGAGTCCCACGGAGAGAGGCGATCCCTGCGGGATGGAGCAGCCGCGGCAGTCGCTGAGGATCGCGGCCAGGGGCGATCCCCAGCCGGCTTCTGCTCTCAAGTCTTACCATCCTGGTGACCGAGCAGGCCTCCTTTAAGTTCCTCCATCCCCTCTGGAGCCCGTTCCTTCCTCGCTTGGGACATGAACGTCGGAGAAAAGCGCCTGGCGACAGATTGGTTGGAGCGAATGACTGGCCGCGGACCCGTCTTGGGGTGGGGTGGGGTGAGGGGCTGGGGGAGTTGAGTGACAAGCCTTTAGCCTCCCCTCCTCCAGAAAGAGGATTTCGGTATCTCGGGTCTCCTGGAATTTAATCTGACGGGAAGGGGAGCGGCCCGTCAAAAGGCGCTTTGCTCCCCACCCTCCCCCCCCGTCGGGCTGTGATGCGTCTCTTTTGCGCAAGGGCGCATTGTTCGCGGGAGCGCACCGCGCTGGGTCCTCCTGGCTGGATGGCTCACTCCATGGCGACCGTCCTCGCTGCCTCTATAAGAAGCCGGCCCAGGCGAGGGGATCGCAGACATGCTTCAAGGGGCCGTGGGCTAGCAGGGCGCAACGCTGCCTCCCCCCCGGCGTCTTAGTGCCTCTCAGGGGAACCTTCACCCGCCGGCCGGGACTGCCAGGCACCGAGGCCCGTGGGGCGGATCGTCGGGGAACTTTTCGCCTGCAGCATCTCTCTTTCTCCCGTTTTTCTTAAACTTGGACCTCGGCTTCAGCCTTTCTTCACAAGCGAGGACCTCTTCCCAGGCGCATGGTGCGCGCCTCTCCCGCGAGGGCTTTGGAGACGGATTCGCCACCCCACCTCTTCGCAGCCCGTTTCCCCCTTTTCGTTTCCCCCCTTCTCCTTCCTCCTTGCGGTTTCGCCGAGCAGGCAGGCGAGCAGGCGAAGCGATGAGCCCCGTGGCATTAATGCTAGGCTTGAAGACCTTGTGGGTTTTGGCTTTTTCCTCTCTTTCCAACACGTTGGCGGTGAATAACAGCGGCCGATGGTGGTAAGTGCGCTTCACGCGCTGCTGCGTCCTCGGCGGAGCCGGGTCGCCCTGCCAGAGGAAGGGGCTGGTGGTGGGCGGGGGGCAGCTCAGCCCGGCCGCCAGCGCGGGCTCCCGCAAGGCCACCTGCGCCGCGCCCGTCCCCGCGTCCTGCCGGCAGAGCTTCGGGCGGCCGCGCCAAGCGCCCAGGTGGATGGGCGGCGCCGAGCGGAGCGGAGCGGAGGCAAGCGGCGGTGGCGAGGGGGCGCACGCCCGGCGCTCGGGCGCGGTCTGGCTGGTGGGATCCCCGACCGCAGGCGCGCTGCGCCGTCTGGCTGCGGGGTCGGCTCTCGCTCAGAGCCAGGGCATCGACCTGCCGCCGGAGATACGGGGCAGGGCAGAGCCTTAAGCTCTCTGGAGGGGCTTCGGCTCTGCCTCTGCTCTGAAGGCACGGGGGTCCCCGTCGGAGCTGCAGGTGTGTTGGCCTTGTACGCGTTTCCTTTCCAAAAGCCACTTTTGACATTTCTGCTTACTGCTTCTTAATGAAGAGGCAGAGACAGAGGGCATGGAAGGCTTTGTTGGTTTTAGGAGGAAATGCGCTCTTGCAGTTGCTATTTATCACTTCATTTGTTGTTACACAGTTACTACTAGTAGAACTAATAGTAGCAACTATGTACTAATAGTACATTATTAGTATTACTATTTCTTCCTAGTGTTAACGCTCCTCCTTTCCCATGTTACTTTACTGCCTTTTGTTTTGTTTTGTTCGGATTTGAGTTTGTCCCTTCATAAGAGCAACGTGCCTGCGATTCCTAAACCTAACAGTACCCTGTGAAGAACATTTGGGGGTGGAGCTGCTCAAGTCTTATCTGTAAATCCTTATGACGGGCTCTAACTTAGGTCATAAGAGCACAAAAGGAGCCAACCTGTTTCAGCAAAGGCTCCACCTAGCCTAGCATTCTGTTCTCACAGTGGCCAGCCAGCTGCCCACAGGAACCACAAGCAGGACGTGAGAGCAACTGATGTACCATCTTCCTCCTGATTCTGGCAGTAGCAAAAAGCTATCAGGAGTGTTAGCCATGGATAACCTCCCCCTTGAATTTGTCCAATCTGCCTTCAAAGCCGTCCAAATGGGTGGCCATCACTACATTTTGTGGGTGTGAGTTCCATAGTTTAAATAAGTACTGGGTGAAAACAGTCTTCCTTTGATCTGTCCTGGGTCTCCCCCAGTCAGCTTCATGGAATGACCTCAGGTCCTAGTATTAGATCTCTAGTGAAATCTTCTCTGGAGCTATTTCTGTGCATCTCCAACCATTGGCGACATGCAAGGCACAGCGGAGAAGAGGCATTTGTCATGTGAGTGAGCATTTGGAACATTGCAGGCTTCGCATTTGCAGACAGACCCAATTGCACTAAGTTTCATGTGCAAAGGCAGACCTGCCCAACACTAATCTGTGTCATTTATTCTGTCTGTTGTCGGAAAAAGAGACAGAATGCACACCCAGCTGCATACCTGGAGTGCCAGCATTTTCAGAAACACTGGTGAAGAAATCTATGATTCCTGGCAGCATGGATTTAACGCATAAGATGCAGCTGCTTTGTTGCACGCCTGTATCTCTAGATATTAAAAAGAAACATGCATTCTGCAAGGGTAGGTCTCTGGCTGCTAGTGGAGTGGCTCCCACCCCCATGCAAGCCTGAGAAATTAAGGGAACATCTATGCCCACAACACTGGTTTGCTTTCTACTGGAATGCTGGCCTCTGTTGTAAGCATCAAATCCCAGATTTCTACTATTGGGTGAGAGAATTACACACTTTTCAGGCTGTCCTAGTAAACAGCATGGCTTGGGTTGTATGACTGCAAAATGTTGGTTTCCTAGGGGACTTGATGGTATCTTAACCAGTGGGGAGTAGGTCATTTATTGGCTTCCATCTCTAAGGAATGACTTGCAAAAGTTTTCTGTCAAACTGTTCTTGTTATCAACATATCTTGTGCTGGGGGGCATAGGCAAAATTGAATTTTCTGAGAGGATGGGGTGGGGGAAGCACTTCACCTATTTAGGGATACACTGTCGTAGAATCCTAGTGTTGGAAGGGGACATCTGTGGCATCAAACCCAACCCCCTGCTTGTTGCAGGAATCCAGTTCAAAGCAGAACTGTTTCAAGTATCCTCTTTCCAGGGAGAAAGGTACTAGTCTCATTCCCTTTCATGTGATTTTAGCAATCAATATATCTTGGATGACACGTGCACCAAATTTCAGGGCTCTAGCTCATTGGAAAGTACCTTAAGAAGTTCGATCCTCCAACTCTGGTGAGTCAGTGAGTGAGTCAGTGAGGCCCAAATGTCTTTAATATTATTAGTCAATGAACTTTCATTTTGCAGGCACAGCTATATGTTCCTTGTTATGCCTCTCTGTCCCAAGATCCCAGATCGGAGGGGATCCAATGGAACTGCTACAGTGCTTGGTTGCACAGTGCCTGCAGCTTGGCCTTATTCTGCACTGGAATTCTGGCCTTCACTGCAAGGTGGCTAGGCTCAGACTAGGAGGTGTGTACATGCCCTATTTTCAGGCTGTTCTATTCATCAGGATTTGTGGCCTGGGCCTGTGCGTCTGCCACATTTTAACTTTCTGAGTTGCCTGGAAATCCCGTAGCTACCTAGAAGCATGCTTTTTGTCCCTTCCTGACACATCATACTTTTCTAATAAGTATGAGCACCAAACTTAGGCTTTCTCTGTTTCCTAGCACTTTGGATCCCTGCATTAAGGGCAAGGTGTACAAATATTCAATTTAACAGAGTCTTCTACTTATCCGGATGCCTTGGAACATGGGTGTTGCAAAGTTTAGTGCTGTGAGTCATCGGGAAGTATCTTAACAATTTCATTATATCTGAACTATTCAGAGAAGTATTATCTATCTGTCTCTCTATTAATGAATTTGTCAGTTCATTCACACACACAGTAGCATCAATAGAACTTAATGGACAAATGAATCACAAGACTAATTTACAGAATGAAGTCACACGCGTGCACACTATAGTGAAGCCGTATGGTGTTTGTGTGCGGGGGGAGTGGATAGTCTACATTGCAATCTATGGCAACCTACATTGATTGATTGCTTTCATTCCTAGGCACAAGGGGCAGCCACTGAAAAATAACACAGCTTTTAGTGTGCTGAGCAAAGAAGGAATACTAGGATTGCTGTCAAAGAGTTTCTTTTCGTGCCCTAATAGCACACAGTGTTAAAACACAAGTGTAAAACAGCGTCAGAGCTTCACTATTTTAAACAAGAAAATTCACAGTCACAGTTATGCCAGGTCAGCCTTTCCATGTGCTTTCAGAAGAGGAAGGCCTGCAGAGGATGAGGCGGTGGGTCGTCTCTGGAAGCAAAACCCACAGGAAAGGTGCTATGATATGTTACAACTTCCCCTCTCCTCAGATAGAGCTCAAATGGATGACGACTGCTGTAGGCAGCCTCTGTAGGGCATGCAATGCCATCTACCATCTGGATACTGTCCATCCAGCAGGCAGCGTCAAGCGCCACCTGCAGAAGCTGCCACAGGAATGCGTGTGGCTGCTGGGGAGTCTTTCCACACGATGTGCCGGGCTCAGGCAGGAAGCAGCACTTCAGCTGACAGCCACTGTGGGGAGAAATTGCCACACCGGTGCTGTTTGCAGTCTTCTCCACTGGGTGGGGCATGATTTATAGACTGACTCTAAAGAATGTATATCAATCAGACCGGCTATTAGCATCATCACCGGCATGGAACCAGAGTCTAGGTCAAGCCTAATAAGAAATAGGAAAGGTTTTAAGTGTATTTTCCTCAGTATCCGATACTAGTGTTTTTTCTGTTTTGCATTACGAAGAATTAGTAAATTAAGTATGGTATGAATGCAGGAAGCGGAGGAAGTATGATATGAATGCAGGAAGTGGAGAAAAAGAGATTTACTTTTCTCTCCTTCATAATTCATCAAGTCACCCAAGAAAGTTAATGACTGCTGATAAGTTCAGGAGATCTGGTTTCATGCCATGTGTCTCTAACTTGTGGAACTCCCTACCCCAGTGATGGCCGCTCGATTTTTGGCTTGAAAGGAGATGGGAAGGGGGGTACATTTGGAGGATGAATGAATGGAGGTCAGTGCTATCCAAGCATTTGCCAGGATACTTTAGCCAATGCGTGTTGGTGGTGATATTAATAGATGGGGTCAGGTGAGGGGCTGTTGCAGGAAAGTGCGAGGAATTTTGTTGTAAATTCTTCCTTTGTGTTTGCAAGGTAATTCTGGGCAGAATTCAAGCAAGTCTTAACAATCCCCACCCTTTCACCAGTGATGGGTCCTGACAATTCTTTTGCACAAGCAAGACTCACCACTTCTGCAAGGGAGATTTAGTGCTTCCTGGGGGTAGGGGGCCTGGGGCAAGGGGCTAACTCCTTTTAGGAAGCTGGCAGATCAGCAGAGCACTTTTATATGAGCTCCACCAACCCGCCTCCTTCCAGAAATGGAGCGTTTCTGCACATCCCACTCTGAACATGCCATGGTGCAAACGGTCAGGGCTTCTTGCACAACAAAGTGGATGGGGAATTGAGAATTGGTGGAGGCATAAGTGTCCTGTTGGATGCCGCCTTCTGCATTCCTACCGCTCTTCTGGTGAAGTCTGTGCCAGGCAATGGCACTGTCACACAGAGTGTTCCTATTCCAAGGTTCCTCTTTCGAGCAATCCCAAGCCACAGCTGTTTTCCTTGCAAAGCTTTCTTTATTGCTGCCAAGTACGAATCACCCAGAACAGATCTTTGAGCATGCCCAGAGCAGTTTGCTGAACCCAGTCTAGTGCTTACCTCCAGGAACTCTCCTTATGAGCAAGCCTGGGCCCCATCCCTTCGGGTGAGTGGTGGGGTTCTGCAAGAGAACACGCCTCCTCTCCACACACTCTCATTCAGTTGGACCTCCTGCCTCTGCTGATACCTCGACATGGGGTTGAGAGCAGGAGGGGCCTGGTTGGTGTCCGAGAATTCCTCATCTTCAGAGACCCCTCCCACTGTACATCTTGGTCATTCCCAGAAACTGCCTGGCTCTGCAAAGTGCCTGATGTTGAGATAATCACCTCCTTCATCTTAGAATCTTGCCCTAGCCCGTCCTCCACAATCCCTGTATAATTTGCTTCACAATCTGATTCCGAAGAATCATCTGGGAAGCAGCCAGCAGTCCATGAGAATGATGGCCCAGGACGTCATCCTTCTCACGTCCAACACAAGGATGCTAAATGCACCAGATTTCCAACGTATAGGACACTTTCTTTTGGCCCTGCTTCACGTTTGGGCTGGCTCTGCTCATAAGAGGAACCTTATGCTGCCCTTTGATTTAACAACTAGACTGAGTCCCCAAGTACATGGCCTGGTGCCATTGGTGTAGCAAGGTGCCTGTCAATGGATATGCTTTCTCCACTGATCATATATGGTATCCAAGAGGACGTAATTATTCTTGTGTTCTGAATATTTGATATATGCCTGTCCACTCACTGGGAAGCAAGTTTTAACCTCTCTGTGGTGTTTCTGGCTGATTCTCCTGCCCCATTAGGCATTCTGGCCACTCTGTAGGAAGCTTTAATTCTTAATGTTTGGAATAATTCTTAATCATTTTTGTGCCATTTCTTAGTGAGTTTTTCTGGCTGTGTAGTTGTTTATTGTGTTTCACATTGTTATCTGGCATGCTTTAGTAGTATCCAGTGCATCAGAAACCATTTACAGAAGGAATTCCCTATCCTTTCTGCAACCCTCTGCACACGCCACAATTTCTCTCCAGAGCAGACCTGGGGGGAGCGCAGGAGGGGGAAGAAGAAGGGGAAATCCCATTGTGCAAACAGAAGTCTGCTTGTGGGATGTTGGGTGGAGCCATAGGAAAATGCCAAGATCTTTGGCAGACCAGTCCAAAGGCCCATTTAATCCAGGTCTCTGTTCTGACGGCATCCAACATGATGCATCAGAGAAGCCCGCAAGCTGCTTGTGAGCACCACAGCAGCCTCCTGCCTCTCCCGGATTGTAATTGTTGCTGGCTTTGCACCTTGAATTTAGCCATTAGTAGCCACACCAAGTCACTCTTTACAAAGTGGCAGGACATACATGATTTAAAAAAGAAGTAGCTGACATGCAACATCTCACAACATTCAATAGCTGAAATGGAACACTGATTAGCATTCGATAGCTTATATACTAATGGGATTTCATATTTGATGGCGACCAAAACAACACTTGGTTTAGACTAAAACAGAACACTGCTGGGCATGCTGGGAATTGTAGGCCTTTTTTCTGTTTAAATGAGCATAGAATTGTGCCCAAATGCAAGTCCACATTTCATTCTGAAACAGCGAGAACAGAAATTACAGTTTGAAATTTTGTATTCAAAAATGTGCCTGGTGAAACTGGAAATTTAGGTGCATCCTGGATATTCAAGACTTGTCAGTTCTAGTCATCTCTCTTTCTCCCTGTCAGAGTTTAAGCTCTTGCCATTTTCTGCCCACAGGGGAATCATCAACGTGGCTTCGTCTACCAACCTGCTGACTGATTCCAAGAACGTGCAGTTGGTGCTCGACCCTTCCCTGCAGCTGCTGAGTCGCAAGCAGCGCAAGCTGATCCGCCAGAACCCAGGCATCCTGCACAGCATCAGCAGCGGCCTGCAGACGGCCATCAAGGAGTGCAAGTGGCAGTTCCGCAACCGACGGTGGAACTGCCCCACCACGCCAGGGCCCAACATTTTTGGCAAGATTGTCAACAGAGGTAAGGAGCCTTGCAGGACCAAATGGTGGGGTGAGGATACTCTGAGATATGAACACCTTCACTCCTCTTTAATGAGTCTTAGCATGGCTAAGTTGATGGCTTTGCCCATGCACTGGGAGCAGGAGAATCCAAAATCCCAACCACCAGTCCCTGATAGGTTGGCTCCAATTCAAAAGGCCTCATTTTTTCCCCCTCCCGATTAATTGCTCATCAGTTAATTTCAGTTTCTCTTCTCCTTGATGAGACTAGCACAACTGAGATAATGCCCTGGCCAATGTAATGGGAGCAAGCAAATCCAAAACCCAAGCCACCTGTCCCTAATTGGTTAGCTAAAATCCGAAAGGGCCCATTGCTCTTCATCTGAGCAGCTGATACTCTGACTCTGCTCACCTTTGCACCCTTCTCCCATACTCTCTAAATGACAGCCAGTTTTATCCAGACGAGCAGATTTCCTCTGCAGTCTGCTATACTGGAGATGAAGCAAGGAGATAGTTTGGAACAGACTCAAGTGCATCTGTTCTGTGATATACCATTGCTTGTGTCCCACGTCCAATCTGTGCACGCGTGAGATGCAAGAATGTGCCCCTCAGTAAAGAAAAATCAGTTTTTGCACAAGTATCAAAGGGCTTCACGCCTCTTCCTTTCTGCCCTACGCCATCCCCTTTTCTTTATAATGAGGAACTTTTGCTTTTCCTTAAAAAAAAGTCCCAGATTTGCATCACTGCGCATGACTGTCCTCCAGGTCCAGTGATGGCCAGAGCTGCAGGCGCTGCTTCAGGGGGACATGACGCTGCCGTATTATGGGAGCCAAGCCAAGCGTCAAAGGCACCCCCAGCCTCTTGAACCAGGCATGAGAAACAAGCATAGTGGAGAAGCAAGCATGAGAGCGACTGTTTTTGATGGGAGTGGAATGTAGGTTTTTAACAGAAACAAAAGATTTCAAGGTGCTCCTCCCATTTTTGTTCCGGGGAAACTATTTGACACTTGTGGGGGTGTGGTTCAAGGCCATTTGCTTCTGCCTTCATTCAGAACATTTCTGGAGAAAAACAGGCTGGCAGTTCTGGAAGAGAAAATGTATTTCACTGCAGCCCTGCTGCTTACATCTGACAGATTTCTGTGGGATAGAAGTGGCTTAAGCACACATGGGTTTGATGATGATGGTAATTCGTTGGATCCAGATTTAAACTGGATCCACTGAACTGGCAGAAATGGACTTTCCCGCCCCACCTCTTTTCCCAGGGCAGCCCCTTCAGCCCCCTGAAAATGCTACACAGACAGCCAGGAGAGGGAGGTGTGGGGCAGGGAGGAAGACTCACCCAGGCGTCCATGAGTAGAGTCCTTCTTTTTGTAAAATATCCCTTTCTCTTCCTTCCCCTTCTGGAAGGCAGATTCCGGATCCAGCCTGGTTATGCTGCTGCTGATGCAGCATTGCATAAGAAATGTGTGGGGATCAACAGCAGGGCAGTGCCTGTGTGGCTTCCCAGCAGCCTTGAGTTCACCCATCCCTCCCTCCCTCCCTCCATATACATACATGCATACATACATAGAGATTTTCAGCACAGAATTGGGCCATTTGTATTTTGTTAGGCCTGCAGAATCATTCCAGAGGTAGGACCAACCCACTGAGCTACCAAAGCCAAGCCGTCGTGCCTGCTCTCACTGAACCGTGCAGCTGGAAGCGGGGAGACGGGGTCACCCACCCAAGCCTATCAGGGTGGGCCTGAGGACAGGTCCTTCAGGCTGGCAGGATGATTGGGAGCCCGGCGATTCCATCAGTGGAACAGGAAGCAGGGACATGTCCAGCTCATTCCCTCTCTTCCTGCATCACGCCTTCCCCAAAATAAGCTCCGCAGGGTTGGAACGCCATGGCAGGTGGCGTGGAGGCAAGAACGGAAAATTGCCCCCTTCCCTGCTCCGCAGTCAGAATCTTCTGCTGGTTCAAAGAGCATTCAGCCTGCAGAGTGACTCCAACGGGATACAACTCATTGTTATTAAAATAATGCTAAATTATGTCTAATTATAGCCCTCATGCATTACATGCATGTCACCATGGAAATACTATTATGTGCATCCAGTGGAGAGATGGCTGGCTTTTGTTTATCTTGACAGCTTGCTAATGGGTATTGATGATCAGTAGATGGCTGGAGAGGCTTGTTCGATGAATCCTGATAGCTGGATGATTTTCTTCAATGGGCACTGCTTGCTGTTATCTTAGCGGACACGGCATTTGCCCGGCTGGGGCTGGAGAAGTTGCCATTTCACCAAGCTTGAGCTTGCTGCTAGCTGAAAAAAGCAGCCATGTAGCAGAAAGGAGTTCAGGGAAATGCTGTTTGCTTTGGGGAATGGATTCTGCATTGAAGATCAAAGGTCTCTGGGCTTATCTGGTCCATGTAAATAAGCAGATTGCTCCCAGGCCCCGCAGCACTCTCCTTCACAAGGAGAAGCTTGCAGCACCTGCCCTGGAACACCCTAGGAAGCTGGGAGAGTGGAGGCATGAAATGTTAGAAGACATCTCAGAAGCTAGAGTGGTCCTCTTGAATTTTCCTAGTGCTTCCATTTAAGGACTGTCCTGAAGAACTGGGAGTGAATCATTGCCTTTATCATCTGTCATTATGAATCATATTTTTTAATCCTACCATTCTTTTGAGGAGTTCCTGGTAGCACGGGCCATTGTCACACACACAAATAGGTTGACGAAGTTTGGCTGCCCAAGGATGCCCCATGCCCAGTTTATTACAAAGCAAACCAAACCGGCAATTTGATCAGCGCTGCAGATGAGGAAGGCTGACTTAGGACGTGCAGGGCTTCAAGCCATCTCCCCCAAGACCTTGCTGCCATCTTTGGGCATCTGCCACTCGAAACAGCGGCTTCACTCTGCCTAATGACACACACACACAGAAACATTTTGGCTTCACAGCCACGATCAGGCTACTGGCCCACAGGCTCCCGGTGTGCTTCCTGGATGGCTGAACCCGGGTCAGCGGCTCCAGTCTTACTCTGACACACCAACCATCACATCGGTCATTGCTGCCTCTTCCCAGTTCGGGAACAGTGTGGTGCCACACTGGTTGTGATGTGTTGGTGTGTGAGGAGGCCAGACTCTTAGGCATGGTGGAACTTAACTTGCATTGCCGGAGGAGGCAGCTTGACTGTGCAGCCCTGTGAGCAGAAAATAAAGAAAGAAAGTGCTTCTGAGATCAGCATATAAACACAGCATAGGATACACCCCAAACATGCACAGCTGGGTTTTGTACATTAGGCATCATGTATTATTTTAGATTTTATAGCAAGTTGTTATTATTTTCCCCAAAGCGGAAAGACATTCCTTTCCCACAAACTCTCGGACTCTGTCCCTCTTCCATGCCTCTGCTCCCCTTCTGTGCCCCCCCCCCCCGGCAGCACAGGACGGGGGGCACGGGATGGATGGATGAAGCACTTTCTGAATGGGATACAGCATTTGATTAAAAAGATGCTCCTGCTGAATCAGGCAACAGATTAAAACATGGTTTAAAATAGTTCTAGAACAGGCATTTTTAATCCAAAGCCACCTTAGAAGAGGCTTCTCTCTTTTTTCTTACCCGGGGGGGAAAGCCTCTTCTGAAATGATGCTTCCTGGGATAACTGGAAGGACAGAGAGTTCCTCAGTCATATGGGGCTCAAGGAGGCCAGGGCAGAAAGAGGGCAGCACTGCATTGCTCTTCCCCCTTTTTGCAGTGTGTTAACCATCTCCTTCCCCTTGTCTCCAAAGGGAACAGCACTCAATAGCTCAGCTCCAGGGCTAATTTTCCCCACCACTCCCAGGGCATTTCTGGGGGACAAGGAGGCTTTGGGTCCTGCCTTCTGTGATCTGCCCCAGCTGAACTGCTCTTGCCGCGCCAGTAAGCACTTTCTGGGGCAGGTCTCCATCTCTTTTCCGGGCTGCTCCTGGCTGCCCCTCCCCCCACCCCCCAGCAACCAAGCACTTGGCATCCTCATGCTCACATCATTTGCTCAGTGATTCCTTTGTCCAGGCAAGAGCCTCGCCTTCCCCATATTTAATGTTGTGCCAACCCTGCGAAGCAGAGCTGTCTTTCTCATAGCCTCGCAGGCTGCATGGGGGCTGGCTGATTGACAGCTGAGCTCCTAAATCAGTGAAAGTGTTCAATAAATGATTTTAATAAATTGGGGACCACTTCCCGATTCTCTCCCATTCCCTTCTCCTGTGGTGTGCTGTAGATTGTGTTGTAAGCCTGCACTGCACACAGCGGCTGTGCTGTGGTTTTTGTACAGCGCCTAAAATAATTATTACAAGGAAACAGAGTGTATGTGTTGGTTGTTGTCATTTCCAACACAGGTGTACATTCTGTGCAAAAAAGTATGTATCCCCAGGTACACTGTTATATATGACAAAAGCCCTTGCACTGTGCTGTATCCAATGCGAATCATGTCTTCAGAAGCTTGTACACATGTGGCAAAATATACACACATGCATTCCACACAAATAATTGTATGTGCAGCTGTTCTGTACAGAAGCCGTATCTGTGTGAAAGAGTCGCATCCTGGACAGAGCAGACTTCTGCCCTGTTGAAGTTTATATCATCTGCAGTAGAGGTGGGCATTGGGGAGCTGTCCAGATGCTTTGCCTGCAACTCCCATGATCCTCCACCATTGCTTATGCTGGCTAGGGCTGCTGGAAGTTGTAGGTCAAATTGTCTGGAGCGCCACGAGATGCCCATCTATGGTTTAGGTCTAAATACATCAATTCAACCGGGCTGCTTTACTTGGTGGAGTTTTTAGGTGGAAAAGAAGCCATTTATAATGTGGTATTGAGAGGAGGGTCCTCCTACCAAGCAAAGGGGACCGGGCTTAAATGTCCATTCCTAATAAACCTCTACCGACACTGTTCTCTAAAGATAACAAAATAATTATCTTGTCGAGCTTCTTTCCCCGTTGGCCAATCAGTCGTGTGAGTACATTTCAGCCCAGATCACTCACAAGAAGGATGAGCCCTGTGCCAAACAAGAGAGAGGAGTGGAAGAAACCGAGCAACTAATCTTTGTGATCTAGGCAAGGCAGTTGATGATGCCCTGACCCCTGCAAGCTTCAACAGCATTCTTGCTTTCAGCAGCAAACTTACCAGACATCCCATAAGGTTCTCAGAACATCCCATGTAGCGTAGCAGCAGCCAGCCCCACGGAGAGCAGCCAGCAAGGAGCCCACCCCCAATCCCCCCGATAGTGTGGGCTCTCGCACACAAGGGTCATTCGAGAAGAATTTGGGTGGCCATCTGGGTGGGGTGGTGTATAGTGTGCAGTGCTGTACAGTGGTGTCCTGCACTGAGCAGGGGGTTGGACCCAATGGCCTTCATGGCCCCTCCCAGCTCTGCGGTTCGACGAATGGTGAGGGGAGCCGAGGTGACATTCCAAGTGCATATCAGTGGACAATAAGTCATACGGACAGGAACCCAGGGGTGGGAAAGTCCAGTTTCCCTTTCTCTCGCCTCTTCCTTCCTGGCTGGTCACGTGCCGCCCCAGTCATGCAAAACTGCTGGCCCCGCCGTCATCACACCTGCAGAGGAGCCAGAGAGCTTTGCGGGCGTATTTAAGCCTGAGCTTTCCTCGGATCTCTCACAGGCTGAGGGAGACACAAAGAGCCTTCCATACTTAGGTGGGCTCTGGGGCTTGTGCAAAGCAAGGTCCAGCTGGGGTGGTGTTAGTGGGCGGGACAATGAGGTTGGAGCCCTGAATCCTTGGGGTGCAAATCCCAGTCTCCCGGAGGCAGTGGTCTGCCCCGTCACTGTGCTGTCCATGGGCATGGGCTAAAATCAGGTCAGAGGGCCTCTGCTGCTCTGGACCCCCACGAGCTGGCTCTTGGCGATCAGGTGCTTCACCTCCTGCTGCCCCTCACAACCTTTGTTCCTGGGGTATTTTTCTAAAAGCAAATGTCCTCCTTTCCCTTGTTCATTCATCATTTTGTAAAAGGAAGAGTGTCTTTCAGAGACAGGTCTTGAAAGACTTGCACCCATGCACGCATGCACATGCACACAGAGACAGAGAGAGAGAGAGAGTTTAGAGCATATGTACATTAGAATACGCAAGTACATTTTTATCTTTATCCAGGGCCTGAGCAGGGGACCTAGAACCACCCCTGCGAACAGTAAACTTGCATGAGGTCACTATCACTAATTAATTACTGTGCAACCCTATATGTGTCTCCTCAAAAGTAAGTCCTAGCGTGTTCAAAGGTGCTTACTCCCTAGCAAGTATGCCTCGGATTGCACCCCCAGGAACCCTGAAGCACTTTACCAAAATTTGGTGCGGGGCGGGGGGGTGGGCGGAAATGAATAGACTTATAAATTGGCAAATTCACCATCTGGCAGATGCAAAAGGGAAAAGGAATAGTGAGCTGGAGAGGAAAACAAGCAATTTCAGGGACCAATTCTAGTACAGTGGTCACTTGCCATTCTTATCTGCCTTCTGCAGACCACGAGGAGGCAACTGGGGCTTCCCAGGAATCCCCCTTTGAAAGCTGGCTGGACCCACACAGGCTTAGCTTCAGCAAGGCTGCTGCTACCTGCCATAGCAACTCCCTCTGTCTGCCGAAGCAGGTGCTCGGCCCCGAGTCACTCAGTAACTTGTTTTCTGTAGGCCCCCTGCTCTCCCTAGTCTGGAATGCTAGGGTAAGGTTTGGTAAAGCACCTTGGTGGCACCCATTGCCCCTGAAAGACCCTCTGTGCCGTGGATGCTCTGGGTTCAGTGTAAGAAGATGATGCATGGAAAGCATTCCTGCCCTGTAGACACACTGGGGGTGGCCCTGTGCTTTCCCTCATCTTGCAATGTAGAATTCACCATGCTTGCATGAATGATTTATCTGGAAGTATCTGCTGTGTATGTACCTTTCTGGAAGGTGCTTGCTGTCAGCTTATGGCAGACTTCAGCTGGGTTATGTAAACCCAGGCAGGGTGGAGGCTGGCAGGCAAGTGTGCTGGTCCCACAGGACGGGTGGTAGAGGAGACTTCTGGTCCTTTGAACCCTTCCAGTGTCGCATGACTTGTACCCGGAGCAGGGTAAAGACAGACCTAGGATGATTCTGTTTCTGGCACAGCGTGAAAGGCAGAATGATGTTGTCCTTTGACTCTACACGCCGTCGAGTGTCCATAGGTGGGAGCGCTTCTGATTTTTAATGGGTATATTCGGGTTGTTCCAAGAAAAATTGGATTTCTAGTGGTCTCCAATCTCCAAAGTTTCATGGGGGGAAAAGACAAGCTACAAACTAGCCTGAGGTGCCTGATAAGCAGAGTCAGGCCTGGTTGAAATGTGGATGGGTGACTTAAATGTCATGAACCACCCAGAGGGCTTTGGCTAGGGGCAGTATAGAAATGTAATGTAATAAGAATAATACCTGATAAACAACGATGCTGCTGTGATTGAGCCAGTAACATGGCTGGCTGCCATACCTGTGGCGTGTGGCCCTTCTTCAGATTACCTTGCAGAGGCAGGTGCCAAATGGGCTGCGTCCTTGGATGTTGCACACTGACCCACCCCCTCACCCCCGCCTTCCCTCTCACTCCCAGGTTGCCGAGAGACTGCTTTCATCTTTGCGATCACGAGCGCTGGCGTGACGCATTCCGTGGCCCGCTCGTGCTCAGAGGGCTCCATCGAGTCATGCACGTGTGACTACCGGCGGCGAGGGCCAGGCGGCCCTGACTGGCACTGGGGCGGCTGTAGCGACAACGTTGACTTTGGCAGGGCCTTTGGACGCGAGTTTGTCGACTCCAACGAGAAGGGGCGGGACCTGCGCTTCCTGATGAATTTGCACAACAACGAGGCAGGACGTCTGGTAGGAAGCGGGAGAGGACGTGTGGCCAGAGGGGTCTGCGTGCATGGCCCCATGCGTGTGTATGCCTGTGCATCACGACTGTGAGGTCCCATCCACACAGCTGTTTCTGATGTGGTGAAGTGAACACGAGTTGGCTTGGGCTGCCCCTTTGATCTGTCAGGCAGGTTGTGAAGGTTTGGGCATTCCCCTGGGGCCAGATGCTCCCTGTCCTGACCAAGAACAAAAGTCACAACAGAAGCCAATGAGCTCCGATTTGGATGGGTGTCCACAGCTGATTTATGCGCCAGAAAGATGGTGCCATTCATTCCTTCATGTGTTTGTGTGGCAGGGTGTGCTCCCATCCACAGGAAGGTGCATGACCAGCCTGGGATGCGTTGGGGGATGACAGAGTGGCAGCCCAGACTGTGCCAAGCAGTCCTCTTGTGCAAGCTAAGAGCCCTCTCACAGCATTCCCTGCAATATTGGACAGATTGCCAGGATGTAACTTTCAGGACATGCCCAAGTTCATGCGGTGTCCCCTGTAGCATTGTGGAAACTCCTAAGGCCGCCTCCTGCAATGCAAGATCTCCTAAAAGCTAATGTGGGCCCAACTGACTGCTGGGATTGCCCATGTAGTCAGGCCTGGCCCCTGCGTGCAGAGGATTTGGGGACGAGCCTGGCCAGCAGAAGCATCTGTTCCCATGTGCTTCAGAGTACACTGGCTTATCCAGAGCCCACTCAAGACATTTTGATGCTTACATAAGCACATGAGAAGAGCCTCGCTGGGTCAGACCCAAGGGCCTTCTCTCCTAGCAGCCTGTTTCCCACGGTGAGCTGCCAGATGCATCTAACATGCTTCCAGGCAGGAAAGAACGGTGCCGTCCTCCTTTGCAGCTTTCTCCGAGCAACATGCATTCTGAGATATACTGCCTCTGAGCCCGGGGCTCCATCTCCTGTCCTTGACCAACCTGTCCCCTCCTTGCTTTTGCCTCATCGCCTTGAAAAGCCATATAAGTGAATAATTATGACCACCTCTCAGGGAACAAATGCCATAAGCTAGTCATGCCTTATGATGAAGAACTTCCTTTGATCAGTATCTACTGCATCTACTTCCAATCTGTTTCTCTGAGTGCTTAAAATTATCAGAAGGAGGCCTTCTTCTCTGCCTGCTTTCTCCTCTCCATTCATAGTTTTATAATCTATTATAATCTAGCACAGTTCTTTTTGGGCTAATTCCCCTGCCCCTGCCCCAAATACCCAGCCTTCCCTAGCCCGTTGTCCTCCAGATGGAATTGGACTACCACTCCCATCAGCCCCAGCCACTGTGGGGTGATGGGCACTGTAGTTCAAATCATCAGGGAAGGAGCTGCAGCTCCTTGATCACTCTGGTTGTCCTAGGGCACCCCTTCTCCATCTCTGTGCTTGCAGTTCTTGGACGTGGGGGAAACAAAACCCTGAACGCCACATCCCCAGGCGCCCCCTCCACAGAGTTACACAAAGGTTTGCTGAAGCTGGGAGCTTACCTTGTCATGTGTGGGCAGTTCCTGTTTCGGCGCTACCACACACGGAGGGCACAGCCTGACGGCCTCCAGGTACTGTCTGAGGGGCACAGGATTTTTCAGAGCTCCAACCCCAACCTCCTGCCTCAGAGAGGCAGGATTCTGGGGGCAGAGCACCCCTTTCCCCCTGGCACCCAAAGGATCTGGCTGGCTTCCCTGCTCTGAGGCTGCAGGTGGGCCTCATGTGGGGGAAAGGTGGCAGACTGGGGGACAGGGAGCGAGCCACAGACGTGTGCCGACCCCCGTCGGTATCCCTCCCAGGCCCAAAATGACCGTCTCGACAAAATACCCAGCACAAGGTACATTACCAAGAGAGATCCCCCTGCTGCACCTTGTTCTGTGCCCAGGGCACTGTCTGGTCGGTTTTTTCCCAGCTGGCTGGGGCTGGTGAGGCTGCAACGCAAGGCATTTAGGAGACTGGGGAAGACAGAGCTTGGCCCTCGGCCCTCTCCCAAACACCCTGAGGGACTACTTGGGGCCACTGGGGACTCTGGAAGCAGCTGCCTCTTGGCCCATGGCCAACTCTGCCCCTCCCATCACTGAGGACCTACAATACTTATGTCTTCCTCATGCAGATGAAGACATGCAGAATCCCAGACGTGCAGAATCTCAGACCGGCAATCTGTCCAATATTGCATGCAAGGGCTCTTGGCTACCAGAAGACATGCAGAATCCCAGACTGGGGGCTTTCCCAGCTGCTTCCGGCCTTCTCTCAGCCCCCGCTGGTCAAAGCCGCTCTGCCCCATCATGATGCTAAGTCTGCTTGGTGGAAAATCCAGGTGGACTTTCCCTCCCCTTCCTCTATTTTCCAGGAGGGCAGCAGGCTAGCTTAGGGAGCAACGGGCAGGCCATGGGACACACATCCAGCTCCAAGCCCTCCCCACTGCTCCCCACCTCTTACAGCTGCCACCTCACTCTGCCTAGTGACACGGCCAGCCCTGCTATTGCCCATGGACACAGCTCCATGGGTTCTTTGGCATGGAGCTCACTGAAATCAACAGGGACCGCACACTGCACACGGTTGTGCTCTTGCACAGCTCCTGTACATGAAAACCTCCTGGCAGAGGGTGTCCCTCGGGCCAGAGCTGCTTGTCTTCCACTCTGTTGCCCTTAATGATGCCGAAAACCTGCTGCCGGACCTCACGGCCAGGCCTCTGCACGTGGGAACCGTTGGGGAACTAGAAAGCCGGCACGTGAAGGTGTGTGTGTGTGTGTGTGTGTGTGTGTCTGAGAAAGAGAGACTTGCACCATCTGCTTCCTGCTTGCACATGTTCATATGTGAAAGTCTGCACTGCTTGCGCCTGTGAGGAGGAGGTTATGGGACGCACAATGAGGGTGGCAGTAGCAGCATGGGAGGGGCGGCAGTGGGGGTGGAAGGCCAAGGGAAAGTTAAAAGGTGGGGAGGCATCCCGTGAGCAGGCAAACCCTAAGTAACCAAGCCCAGAACCACAAACCCGGCTGCCATGTGGGCTCCGGCACATCTGGAAGGAAATGGTTCCAATTCTTCTAATTGCAGTAAACCCCCCTTGGAAGGGAAAGCTGTGGGCTTGGAGAGAGGCGTCCACATTCCGTGGGCGGGAGGGGGCCCACTGCCTGCCAGGGGAGCCGTTCCCACTTCAAGCGGGGCGGGGGAGGCGGCCCTGGTGGGAGGAGGGCTTCCTGGCCAAGTGCAGAAGGGAGGGAAGACCCTCACTGAATGGTGGGGAAGTCGCAGTCCGTAGTCAAGACCTCGTCACCCAGACTGACTTTTGGAAAGCCGGGACACACTCCTCTGTGGCAACGGTGAGGGTGGCTGTGGGTGTTGCCGAAGCGGTGCCCTCATCCTCGCAACAACCCTAGAAGGCAGAGCAGGTCCATTATCCCCGTCTTGCAGATGAGGCAGAGGGAAGACCAAGGGGGAAAGAGGTTAGCTTGCCGGGCTCACTCGTGGCTGGGTCAGACTGGAAGCCCGCTCTCCCTGGTTTCCATCTCGGTACATTTCACCCACCACACCGTCCCACTGGCGAGAGGCACCAAGCCTTTAGGCAGGGTGGGGCCGCTGCAGGAGCGCTGAGCAGCCCAGTGCTTGGGTCCCTAACAGGCCTTTTCTCCCGCTGCTGCCGTCCAGACAGTCTTCACCGAGATGCACCAGGAGTGCAAGTGCCATGGGATGTCGGGCTCCTGCACGGTCAAGACCTGCTGGATGCGGCTGCCCACCTTCCGGACCGTGGGGGACTTCCTCAAGGACCGCTTCGACGGGGCCTCGCGGGTCATCTACGGCAACAAGGGCAGCAACCGGGCCTCCCGCGTGGAGCTGCACCACCTGGAGCCCGAGAACCCCGCCCACAAGCCCCCCTCGCCCCACGACCTCGTCTACTTCGAGAAGTCGCCCAACTTCTGCACCTACAGCGGCAAGACGGGCACGGCGGGGACAGCCGGCCGCTCCTGCAACAGCTCCTCGCCGGCCCTGGACGGCTGCGAGCTGCTGTGCTGCGGGAGAGGCTACCGGACCCGGACCCAGCGGGTGACGGAGCGCTGCAACTGCACGTTCCACTGGTGCTGCCACGTCAGCTGCTTGAACTGCACGAACATGCAGGTGCTGCACGAGTGCTTGTGAGGAGGCGGCTCCCTCCGTAGGCCCGCGGGGAGCAGCCTCGGGAGTGCGGCCTGCCCCGCGAGGCTCCGCGGCCCCTCCGCGCCCTGCCCGCGGGGACACTGCCTGCGGCGGCGACGGGCAAGAGGCCCAGGCGGCAAGGACTGCTTGTGTACATACTCCTGCCGGGTCCACGCCCCGAAGGGCTCGGACGGTGCTGCGATGCCAAGCCGGGCTTGATCTGAACGGGATCTCCGTCATGGACGCCTTCACGCAAGGGCTCTTGGCTACCAGATGCCTGAGCTGTATTACCGTTAGCTGGTAACCTTTTTCTTGCTATGGTTCCTGTACTTGCAGGGGGGTGGTGGTGGTGGTGATGATAATGCAATTGCCTCTGAGTTCATGCAGAATGGCTTTCCCTCCTCCTAGCTAGCCCCTACATGATTAAGTTGAGCTTTCAGGTCACAGGAGGTACTGTCCATGCATGTTTCACTGACCCAGAACTGGGCACCTGTCACTTCAGAAATTAAGCACAGCCACTGTGGACTTCCTTTCTTATGAATGAGACACTGTATCAGAACTGCATGTTAGAAGGATCTTCCTTCTTTTCTTCCTTCCTTCTTTCTTTTCACTGCTTGCCTTTTTGTATCCCTAGCCCTCTGGGGGATACAACTTTTTATGTCAATTTCATACAGCAAGGGTTGACAGAAAACAGATTTCCAGATATTTTGGACGTCAGCTCCCATTATTCCTGACTATTGGCCATGGTGGCAGGGGGTTCTGGGAACTGAAGTCCAGAACATCAGGCGCATGACCTTCTACCCACTTCAGTTGTCAAGCATCATTAGAGCATCTGTTGTAAGCCACCTTCTGTTGCGTTGTCTCATAACACATCAGTGTGCGATTGAATTTGAGGCTGTCCTATATAAATCCCATCAAAAGAAATGGGGGCCAAGAAAGAGCACTACTGTGCTCTCATTGAGCACCCATTTATTTATAAGGGATTTGCCTTGGAGGATGTTTTGAGCCATCGTGCCTCATGGTGCTTCATGCTCAAAGTCCTCGTGTTTACCGCTGGTGTCCCAGCTGCGTACAACTAAGTGGCAATATGGGGACATGAGCTGCCAAGGTCACTGGTCTTGATTTTCCAAGAACTTGTCAAGGAAGACGGGCAGCTTCCCTGAATTACATACGATGTGTGCAGGGCTTTTGGCCTTTGATCATTTTGCCATGGAAATGTGTTTTACTGTTTTCATTCTTCTTTTACCATTGTATTTTCCCTTTCTTCCACTCTGCTCTTACCCACTCAGAGAATCCTGTAGGTAATATGCACTGAAGACGTGGTTGGGATCGCTAATAATTTTGCATACTTGTGTAAATAAAATATTTATTGCTGCCTGTTACATATTCTTGTAGGCCTGGACCAAGGTTCTTGCTTCTAGATTTATGTGTCCTGAACCTTGTTTCTGGCATTCTAGAGAAGAATAAAATATATATTTTTATCAATCCAACTGCGTTTCATGGGTTTGCTACATTCTGCAAAACAACCAAGAATTCAAGTGCCTGATTCCAAGTTACCCTGCCTTGATACTCAGTTATGCAATGTGCATTTGTCTGCCAAGATGCATGTACACTTGTTGAGACAGAGGAAGATGCAAACACCTTAAGGCACAATCCTATGTGAGTTTAGTGAGAAAACAGGCCTACATTTCCCAGCATGCCCCAGCTGGTTGGGAACTATAGGCCTTTTTTTTCCTGACTAAACTTGCATAGGATTGTATCCTAAATGTCTAATTTGACCTCTCTGCATAGGTCATGGAGCTTTGCCTGGCAGTCCTTAAACTAAGCCCAGATATTCACAGCTGAATGACAGCATATCTTTTGGGAACTGGCCAATCTCCTCTTCACGTCTCCAAGTGTTGGATAATTTACCACATCCCTTGCTAATCGGTTCCAATGTTACCCGCCCTATTAAAAAGCCGCATCTCACTTCCAGCTTGAATTCATCTGAATATAAGCTTCCAGATGCTGGATCTTTTAATGCTTTGGTCTGCTAGGTTAAAAAGTCATCTCATTTTAAGAAATGATGACAGGGTCATATGGACGCAGAAAACAAAGACCTGTTACTAGGAGGGAATATGGTCCAGGATTAATGATTCACAACTGGTATTGAACTTGGGACAGGAAAATCTACCATGTATGGATAGACAAATTCTGACTTTGCTATGCTGGACACAAGGATAAATCAAAGACCTTTTGATGTGTCCATCAGTTATCCACAAACCAGAGCATTTACCTTTTCACTTAAAGGTCACTGAAGATAAGCAGCCTAGTCTATGCATCAGGCCATCAGTCTCAGTCTTTCCCAGTCTGGGATCCTCGGAGCATGTTGGACTACAACTCCCATCATTCCCAGCCAGTGTGGCCAAGGGCTGTTGGCTGGGAATGATAGGGGCTGCATTCCGGAGGGTGCCTGTCTAGGAAGGCTAAGGCATGTCTTTGTCTGTGCCTGTTGAGAGTGACTCCCTAAGGACGAAGGCACAAAGCTTTGCCATCTCTGCTTCCTGAGTTGCTTTTTGCTGAGGATGTCAGAAATGGCAACTCTGGCATGCAACGCCTGAGCTTGGCCTTTGAGCTGTGGCCCTCAGGCTTAAACGTTCAGTTAAGGGGAAAGGTAGCACTTCCACCTTTTGCATCTAAGCCTGCAGGTTTTTCTGCAGGAGGAATTCGTCTTCCACTCAGAAAAAATTGTGGGTCCTTTACCCAAAATTGTCATCCTCTTAGGGCTGGGTCTCCCCCATGTTTCCCAGTGTTTGTTGCATCTCTTTTTAGAGGGTGGATGAGGCAGTATTTTCTTGGATGGCACCATGCTACAGTAGAGAAGTGAAATGAAATGTCACAGTCCCGTTCTATACCAAAGCACTGCCTTGTGTTGTGCAATGGGGTGTAAGGGAATCCATAGGATGGGGGTTAGGAAAACCCCCAGGGAAAAAGCCTCATGTGAAGGAAGCTCTAATGCTCCCACAGAGGGAACTTCGGTACAGCGTTGGGTTAAATTCTTCTTGCAGAGAAGCCCTTCAAGTCCCCAGCAAAGACAGAGAAGTCTCAGTCCTCAATGATGTGTAGCGCTGTGTATAAGCTGCCTTGGGTTCCTTGCAACAGGAAGGAAGGCGGGATAGAAATGCCATGGAAGAAGATGAGACACCAAACTGGCATTGGGGCAAACGTGTACTGCACGGTGGTAATTTCTGATCCAGAATTAGATCAGGCAAATCGACAGTCCACTTTGAAGACACCTTTTCATCCTGGAGCTCAGCTGGGCCCTACACACTGAGTGCTTTTCCGGTCTCCACACCCCACTCTTGCTCTCTGGAGACCAAGCTTCTCACTTCCCTTCTGGGGAACATTTTGCTTCTCCTTGATGCCTCTCTGTGTGGTGAAGGTGTAGCATCAGGAGAAAAAGGATGCACCAGGCAGTCTGCCCAACCTGGTACCTGCTACATGTGCAGGACTCCAACTCCCAGCCTCCTCATCTGGTAATGTTGGCTGGGGATTCTCATTATTATTATTAATTTCATTTCGATACCACCTGTATCTGATGTTCTCTGGGCAGTTTACAACACAAAATAGAAACAATAGATTACAATAAATAGAAAACATTAATGAGAATTGAAATTAGTTTAAAATAGCATACAAGAACATTAAAAGACAATAAAAAGGTGACAAAAAGACCCAGCCAAGAATAAAAGTTACCTGGATAATCGTATCAGGTTCCTGCATGACCATAGGGGTCTTTAAAGGCCTCCACAAAGACAGCTGTCTTAACCTGGTGCTGAAAAGATGACAAATTATAGTTAAAGATGGATTATAGTCTAATGCTTCTGGAGGGCACCAAGTTGGGGAATGCTGGCACAGAGGAAGAGCCATGCAGTCATGCAAGCTCTACCCACTTTTCTCTGTGATTTTGCTTGCCATCATTTCTGGCTGTACCCAGCATCAGCTGCTGCCCCTAAGACTGTTCTTGCAGGTAAATGGTCCTTCATCGGAAAATGATTTCCTACCCCATCTAACTGCAGAATCTGCTGCAAAGCGACAGTGTTTCAGTGGCCATACTGATGAAAAGTTTCCCAAAGCTCCAGCATGCCTTTCTGCAGCCCAGGAACTGGCTGTGTGCCCTCTTCCTCTTCCTCCTGAGAGGCTGCTTACCGAGAATTTCCCACCTATGGGAAGGATATGATTGGCATCCATTTTGGAGCAAGGATTCTCAGACTTTCCCCTATGTTGGTTTCCATGGGGATCTTTGTATGTGTGGTGTACACAGCACTGCTGTTTTGGCCATATGCAGGGATATTTCCCGCAGATGCAGGAGCACCTTTAAGGGGAGGGTGGTACATTTTCTGCACCTTGCCAGGTGGCAGCTCCAGGCATGGCCCTGTCCACTCCCCCATGGTGCTGAAAGGAAACTTGTTTGGGCAGGAGGATGCATGTCCGCCTAGAGTCTAAGGAGGGCTGCTGGCACTCTTTCAGCTGCTCCCACAGGTTCAGCAGCAGCCAAATCCCGTTTCCCATTTCCAGCTGCAACTTGGAACAATGATGCAACTCGGCCACAGGGCAGGCCAGGGAGAAGGCTGCTGTCATCCTGGCCCGAAATGACCACAGCACAAACTTGAATTTTAGCCCAGCGGATGTAGAGAAAGGGCTTGTCTATGAAAAGCCACATGGCACCTTCCCGAAGATTTGAATTCAGCTCCCACAATCCCTCGCCATTGGGCATTCTGGCGGGGGCTGATGGGGATTATAGTTCAGATATCCGGAGGGTGCCAGCCCCTGGCTACAAGTACTTTTCAGTATTGTGAGGGAAGGAACAACAACACCTTGTGGCCCAGCGTGATACAGGGAGCAAAGGAAAGGCGGGGATCACAGTTAAAATCAATCTTTGTCCCTGCCTCTGGGGCGAATGGAAAGTTGTAAGAATAGCTCGATGTTTTGGCCTTCCCCAGTGTCAAACACTTCTGTCAGGAGGA